ATTGAACATACCTCGAGTCATAGAACCAGTGAATGCCCCACTCCCTCCTACGATGGGTGCAACCTTTACTGAACCCTCTGTGATTCCCCTTGCAGTCGAGCAGAATCAGCTTGATGACCTGGTACACTGCGTGTGGATTATTCAGGTCCAAATGTAACAGGTCCAGCAATTCCAGCAATACCAGTAGTAGGTCCTGCACCACTTTTACCAGCAGCAATATCAGCAACAGTTCCCTCCACTACCGCAGAATCAACAGTCGGTTCCACCTCGGAATCCGGTCCCACAGCAAAGCAGATCCCGTCATTAGAACACTTGCCCTCCTCGCCGAGGACAGACTTCCCAAGTTCCACATCCCCTTGGGAGCCAAGTCTCGTCTCGCGGTAGGAGGGACAAATAGATTACTCCTCCTGCTTCGGAGAACATCAACAGATCGAGAGACACTCAGGCCGCCAGGGCCGTTTCACCTAGGTCATCGCGTCGAGAAGGTTCGCTCATGGCGAATCGGTTCGGGGTTTTGGCCGCGGACTCCAGGTGAGGCCCCTCCATCCACAACAGCCAGCACCAGTAGTCCGAACTACCCCATGTCTGCATCGTACCCGATCACACCGAAGTTAGCAGCACAAATGCATAACCAGTCAAGAAGCAGCAGAAGTGGCATCGTAAGGCACGCCGAGCTACAGTTCCAAGCCAGCTCGCTAGACCTATTCAGACCGAATAGCCTAAAGGCAAAGAGGAGGCGAGCTCGTAAGCCAGATCACCTCCAGCTGGGAGCAACCGGATTGCGCTACATCAAAATCCTAAGGCTGCATTTGGAAATTATGCAAATAAGTGTAAATGCAAATATGTATAGTGTAAAATGGTTTATATAAATTACAAAATTGGGTTAGTTTTACACTGACAAATTTACCTTCTTTCTTTTTTATTGATGTACTTTTACATCTTATTATCAATGCAATATATGCATTGGAAAATATGTTTTCTTTCATTTGTCAATGCATAAATATAATGTTGCTAAACACCGGCAAAAGTGAACTAGAGTGCAAATTTATCCTGAACCGAGATTTACACTCCATTTGCATCATTTCAAAAACACAGCCTAAAGGGTTTTCATACTTGTGCATAGGGGTGTCAATTGGACTGGATTTTGTCCAATCCGATTCAGTCCAATGTGAGTCCATTATAAATGGATCATGTCTAATTCAATCCAATGAATATTTTGGATCATATTGGACTGGTCCAATTCAATGCCTGGATCGTCTAATCTGTTCAAATTCATTTTGATTTAAATTGGTTTCATCCCAAACCCGGTCCATTGACACCTATATTCTTATATTATATCAATGGACGAGATATTGGCTTAATCCAACCCAATCCAATATATATTTATTATTGACGGAATAGGTCCAATCCAATCTAATAAATATTTTGGACCAGATTGTTCCAATCCAATATGTCTTGTTGGTCCGTCCAAACTGATTTTGGACTGAACAGTATCCAATCCAAAACCGGTCCATTGGCACCCTTACTTGTGCACACAGCAGCACAGTCTGAGAGAGTGCAGTGATACGCAGCTGCCGGTTTGCCACAACAGTTGGTGGTTGGGTTGGGATTAGGGGTGTCAATAGACCACATTTGGATTAGACCCCGTCCAAACTAAAGTCAATTTAGATGGATTGAACAGACTAACACGACATATTGAATTGGACTATACTAGACTTAATGGTCCAAAGTATTCATTAGGTTGGATTGGACCTGGTCCATCCGTAATAAATTTATATTGAATTAAGTTGAATTGAGCCAATATCTGATCCATTGATAAAAAATAATCAATCAACTAGATTTGAGTTAAAATTAATCTAAATTAAAATAAATTTGAACACTCACTAATGAGTACTGCGTCTTCAGAATTGTAGCCTTCCCATGGCATATAAGCTACTAATACGTTTTTTCCCAAAGCGAGTTCGCCACCAACTGTAGCGGTACCATCTGCTAAAATTTGTCCCTTTTTAATGCATTTAGCCCGCCGAACCTGGGGTTTTTGATGCATACAAATATTTTTGTTGGAACGTTGCTACAATGTCTCCATTACCTGATAAAATGCTCTTGTCAGTATCAGTATAAATGATCTTTCCCTCATGTTCAGCATGATACAAACATTGAATTAAACCAATCCAAAATATTATTGGATTGAATTAAACCTGTTCTATTTGTAATGGACTCGCGACTGAATCGGCTTGGTCCAGATGAAATCCAATTGACGCACCTAGGTGAGAGACTGTGGGCAATGGTTGGCGTCACCGCTAATATATGCATGTAACTATTCGAGTTGTAGCAAAGCAGATCACTTTCATCCCTACTCAAAAACTATTGATTAGTTTCAATAATTGAGCCAATTGCAAGCCAATGCGGCCCACAACCACGCCATCAAATAATGAAGAAGCCAATGACTACTTTAATTTCGGGACCAGTTTCCAGTGGGTAACTGAGTAGTAAGTTGGTCAAGAATGAAGAGACGTATAGCCTGTGGCCAGATGATTACATGGGTTATAATTAATGTAAATCAGTATCAACCTCCTTGTCTCTCCGGTCTCCACTCTCCACCATCCTCATCCTGAGCGTAATAAGAATTGGCCTCATCTCATGATTCAACGTTTATCGGTATGTTTCCCTTATCGGCTCATCCCCTTGCCCTTGTGTCACGGTCTGATACAGGCTTAGTTTTGTTTATCTTTGGCGGGCTTACGTTAAGGATATTATCGCCATTTTTATCTATAAGATTTTTGGAAAAAGTAATATTATCTTCAGGCAGACTTCCAAAAGCTTAATGTACTATTTGAAGAGGGGTGGTCGACTTTTTTGGGTGCCTAACTTTGGCACTCCTAAACCAACATCTCTTGTGGGGCAGCCCTGGTTAATGGCTAATATGGTTACCGGGGTTCTTCATGGGTGCACACATGCTCATGGGGATAGTGCATGGACCAGCACTGCGCTACTGACACTCAATGGAGGCTTGGCATGCGGGCCTATCTCAAGGCTGACCCTTCACCACGTCAGCCCCTTGCCCAAGCTGAGTGAGCTACCTCGTTGCTCATAGTGCACGGGTGTGTTCCGGTTCAGCGGTTGCCTTTCATCATGGCATACAGGTGCCCACATCATCGGCATATAGGAGACCCATCACATCGGTGCATAATCGCCTCGTATCATAGCCTTCCCCCTTTAGCACGTAAACGGCACCTCCTATGGACTGCCAGAGCTAGCTGAGTGCCCCGGCCATGCGACTTGAGATCATGATCTAGTACTACTGACTTTAAGGAAACTCTTATCAGACAACTCCTAACCTCCAAACACACATAAGACTTGTTCCGACCTACCTTGACTTGGACATCGCACAGGTTTCTTCTGCTGCATAAATACCCCGTGACACTTGGGCTTTGGTTCGGCCCCTCTCTCTCTCTCCAATCAATCACCGTGGAATTTGAATTACTATTTTGATAGTCTTTTCCTTTTTCTTCAATCTTCACTTATCTTTCATAAAAAATGGAGGCCACAGTTAGGAGTTAGGACCTTGACGGGACGTTGATGATGACACAACATTAAAAATTGACACTAGCTTCTTCAATTCCCATTTTTTTACCAAAAGAGAAAAGAAAGTTGCGGTTGCCCCTTCCCTTTAATAATTCATACTTGCGTCAGCTAAAAATGAACGGTTGTCCACTCCCAACTCCTAAAACTAAAAGCGCTTTCTGTGAAGGACCGGCGTTCCGCTTTGCGTGCATGTGGATGTATGTGGTCATTAGTATGGAGTTTTTGTTCCCATCCCACACGATAGTGATTTCCCCTCGCCAAACCACAAATTATACCTTCACCAAATTCCAAATTTTCGAAAAATGACAAATTAATATAATATTTTATTGAAAAAAAAAAACAGGGAAACATCGCCCTCCTCTTAAAGTAATCTCCTGATAAGACAAAACTACCCTTCCGAGTACTTCAACAGTTCAACTTGAAAAGAAATGAAGTAAACAAAAGGAAAAGGACCCACTCCCATCCATAGGCCATGAGTCCATGACCCACCACCACCTCAGGGGCTGGGGCCTTCAATACCAACCACATGAGAAAAGAAATGAATGATGGAAACAAGAAGGTTCCATTCCACCCCCCAGCTTCTGCTTTTTGCTTTTTGAATTTTGATTACAGCCAAATTGGCTGGGGTTAATTGGTGGGAGGTCTCAAATCTCAATTAAGTTAGGCTTCAACTTTCAAGCTTCTTAAACTGGACTACTGGATTCATTGCAATATTTACTTTACTCCTGAATCAATAAAACCTCATCATCTCATATATATAGTTCAATGCATCAACTTCTCAATGGCATTGCAATTTGTTTAGAGACTACTATCAACAGTTCCCTGTTTTTTGAATGTGGGTTGGGCTGAGATGACGAGAGCTGTAAGGTGGTCGCCTCACCACCTGTAATAAACTTAGGGATCTTATCAAACGCCCCCTTACTCCTCACCGGTGAAAAACATCTCATCAATAATTACTTAAAACAGATTTAGCCTCTGGTTTAACCATAAGCGAATAATCAACTGCAGAAGAGATTAATTAATATCTTCTCTTCCTTTATCAGAGTGGCCCACTTCTCCATTCGTTCTCAACCTTCATAAGTCACAGAGTCGGGGCCTGTATGGGAGGGACGAAGCTTTGATTGAGCTGTCTTCACTGAGCATCTTTGAGGAAGTTACCAAGAGAAGCTTTCCTGGAAAGCCATTTTAGAATCCTCGCGTCTCCTCTGGTCTGTTACTTGGCACCCAATGAATCATTTTAAGTATACTGCCCTCTCTCTCTCTCTCATGACTCCGAAAATACAGTGTGGAACCAAAGATGTGAGGTGGCTAATAATCCAAATATTTGCTTAAATTATTGCACTGCCTTCAGTTCCATCCGAAGGACAAATAAAGGGACCCCGAATGTTCGAAACAGACAAATTTACAAGAACAGATGAAGAGGGAAAAAGGAAAAAAGAATTAAGTTTCTTCTGGAAATTCGAATACAAACCCTTATACATCCTTGAATGATCCGTTCCTATCAGAACTAGTGACCAGACAATCTCAAAAAGCAAGGGGAAGAAAAGGTAAACATGATAAACATCATACAAAGAGGAGTAGAAATTAGAAAAGAGAACTACATATGAAACTATTACAGAGTAAAAAATCCTGTAAACTTCTAGTTTTTTTTTGTAATTCTTCTGAGTGTCAATGATTGCTAATCCTGAAAGCCAGTCTTCTCCCAGATTGCATTTCTGACCCTACTCAAGTCCCTACCTTTGAGAGTCCTCCCGATCCCTTCATGTACAGAGAAGGAAGCGATTTGGGTCCTCGCAAATTGCCTCGCTAAGAATTCATGCGGAGGAATCTTGTTGTCTTCGGAGTCGTTGTCATCGTCATCAAAGTCTTCGTCGTTCTCTGCCCTCCGACTGGCCCTGTAATCTTCCCTGAGGATCTTCGACCAGTCGGGTATGTTCACCGGCAACGACATTGCAGTTGTAGTCCCTCCATCACTCCGATCAGCATTCACCACTCGTTTTGCCAATTTCTTTGAGACACGTGCATTTGGTATGAACTTCTTGAATTCCGGTGAGGCATCCTGATTCGAATTCCAGAGGTCGGCTTCGTCAAATTCGAACATGGTATCCGAACCAATTGTATTATCTCCATCAACGCCGAGAAATCGATAACTGGGTCTCGCGAGGTAGCTCTTCCCAGTCGCCATTGATGAAGAAATTTATGGTCACTCTGTATTTTTTTGCTTCTCTCTTTCAAAATGCCCTGCCTTTTGGTGTTTTTTCCTGCGCTTTGTTTGTTCTGGATTTGCTAAAATGCTCTGCTTTTATAAAGGCGTAAACCGGATAAGGTTTCCCCACTGTTCCCATTCTCTGTTAACTATGTGTTCCCATTACTATGCCTAAAAAATCCTTCAGAATTTGCAGATTTGACACGTAAGTTTTTTATGATGTTATCCATAAAAGGCGTGATATTCTGATAGATCGCATCTTTGAACTTGGTTCTGATAATCTCTAGATTTAGTATATCGTGGTCGTATCAATAGAAGATGTTGAGTCAGTTGGGACCTACACCCTCGCATGCAACGACAGCCACCAGATATCCCGTAATGTCAGTGGTAGTTTGATAAGTTTTATCTTCAATTCCATTTTAGAGTGTCAACTGATTTTGTCACCCTCCTCTCCTTTCGCCACGTTGAGGCTTTCACTCTCCTGCGATTAGCATCACAACCACGGTTTGAGTTTCATTATTTGATGACGCGTATTCCCATTCATGCTGGTGCGCACTGCCGGAGACTCACTTTGATTAACAGTTTCTGCAAGTTAAGAAATTCCGTTGTTGGGACTTGGGATTGCAGCAATTATTGGGAGAAGAAAGGGGGGTATTTAAGTAATTGAGGCAAGCGTTTATCCATACAGGAACTTCATTCTGTCTTTTTGCTACATGAGTACATGACTTCTTCTTCATCTGCTCTGACTTTGTCGCGACGCGGAAGACGGTTCACCTGGTTCTAGGAAAAAAGGGTTTGGTCCTGCTTTTAAGCTATGTAGACGGCAACACGTGTGACAGGTACATGCTTGTAGGATACGTGTCGGCATTGAATTGGAAGGGGGAAGCATATGATATGGGCACGTGAAGTAGGGCCCCCTAGTTCGGACCTAGCTACTCTTGCCAGTTGTAACCTGGCCTGCTTCTGTCCTTTCAGGTCTAATTCCTCCTTCTTTTATTACTTTTTTTAAGGCTCAAGTTAAATTAAAATTCTCCTGAATTTCTTGTTACATATAATTATAATAATATGTTGATTAGTTGAAATTGAAGAAGTTTACCGGTTTACGCTATCTTAACTTTTATTTATTTATATACAAAAAGCGTATTACAATAATTATGTTATCGTACCAGTTCCTGATTCATCATCCTTCGTTACGCGTGACACCAGCCATTGGTAATTTCTACGGCCGATCAACCTCAGTTGATAACTTGATATTCACAAAAGAAAACACCCTTACATGGTATACATTTGTAGTTTAATTTATTAATAATATTTATCACTCGAATTTGAAATATTAATGAATTGAATTTCTTTTCAACTCAAGTACATTTTAATTCTATCTAATTCATCTGCAGCTTTAAAAAAATAAAAATAAATATAATTTTGATTGTTTTAGGTTGAATTTAGCATTCCTTAGTTTAACCAAGGACTTATTTCCCTTGCGTTAAAATGTATTTATGAACATTAAATTTTTAATTAAAAAAATAAGGAACGTTAAATGCAACCTTAATCGAACATCCAGATCAAACTAGAGTTATGCTTGGTACTAGTGCTGTTTCTTCTCTGAAATATTTTAGGTTGATGAATATAAATCCGTGAAAGATATATTATAATATGACATATCAAACACAACCTTAAATTGGTGACAGTTAGGTTGTGTTGGTACTTTGGTTTGAAGGGAAAAGTAAGAAAAAGAAAGGAAAGATGGGGAAATACATACAGAAATTTGTAAAGGTTTTTCTATCTTTTCTTTCCTTTCCCTACTTTTTTCTTTAAATCAAACATAATCTTAATGTCAGCACATCCACTTTATTTAGAGGGGGGGTTACATTTCACTCCAAGAACGGAAGAACCAAGTATACCTGTTTCAACTATAAAGAGCCTCAAATAACATTTATATACCAATTTCTACCGATCAAACTAAAATGTTTAAGCTAAAAACAGTAGTGATACCAAATGCAACCTTAGATAATTAAACTTTGAAGATTAAGATTCCTTTTATATTCTATTCTTTTATCGGAAAGAGTTTTAATTGTCTGGTTGGGCAGCTCTAGGAATTGAACTAAAGGGTAAAACGTTCGGAATGCATGAGTAGTATAACATGGTCGTTGGGTCTCTTCGCATCGCACCATCCAAATATGATCTTTGAACCATCACTTAATGGGTCCTACCTTGGAGATCGATTAATCGGACAAACTGATTAACTGAAAGTATAGATATTTGTTCTTACTGCAAATGCAATAAATATATGTGTATTTGAATGAGAAAGAAAAATCGATCAAAAGTGGTTCTTAGAATTTTGATCATGATATGAAGATAATGAGTCAGTCAGATATGCATATATAGCGCTAGCCAAGGGTCATATGATCATGGTGCAACGTTCTGTTTTGTTGGTCGTTCGTGGTCGATCGTATCAGCCTATGTGGGCCTTCATCATGTTCTGAAATATGGCGAGTCATGAGACAACAGACTTTAATTATATGGGTCCACTCCTGGGCCCACCCCAACATTATAATATTATAATCCTACGAATCTAATGCGTGCTCTCCCTAGCTGATCTCTAGGCTCTAGCTGAATAGTGAAAATTATCTATATATGAATAATTCTAGTTTAATTATTTAAGTAATCCAAATGTAGAGAACCCTTTGGGTAGTCATCAGATCATCAGACAAACTCTGTTGAAGATTCGTAATCGTAGGTTGTTAAGACCTCATTGTCAGATGACTTTTCTAACGAACTCGTCTGTTGGTTCAAGTTATGAGCGAATCCTCCTTTACTCTTAAGTAATATCATTCAGCCAAGCGTGCATGGAATGGAAGTGCTTATTCTTGTTATTTGCACTCACAAGAGAGAAGAGATCTACGTTTAAGATTCCTGCTGGCACATAAGATTTTAATTCTTGTTGTTTGCACTCACAGTTAGCCTTATCGTAATTTAGTTGATGTTAAGGTGATTTATGGCTTGAAGAAATTTGAAAAGGAGAGCAAATGGTAAGCAATAGTGGATTTGGTGTGAAGATGAAAAGTAAAAACGCTTTGAGGAGAGAGCGATGCTTCTGGATCGTGTAGACTTAAAATCAGACACGTTGTTTGCTTTCTCATGTAAACTTTAATAATCTAGTGAATAAGCATAGTGGCGCTTACTGACTTTAGAGGTTAGTCTCAACCCCCTGTTTCATGTTCAAACATGCATGGCATCTAAATTCTCTGATAGTGGCGCTTCTCTTTTTTTTTTTCCTTAGGTTTTTTTTATCAATTTGGTTCAGAGAGGTCGGTTTAAGGCCCCTCTACCCCCTAAACCAGGGTTTGACCCAAAACACCTACTGTAGAGGTGCATCAGGAAGCCACTGATACAATATGTATCGATCTATACAACTTGATATATATCAAAATTTTGAACCTTGATATTAATGCCTTGTTGCTTTGGGGGTAGGGGTGGAGCCAAGCTGAATATTTGGTTATTCGAGCTCAGTTCATTAAAAAACCATGAGGCTTGAGGATTCGAGCTAGTTAGAGATTTGAGCTCAAATTCAGCTAGGTGCAAAACCTCATAAGTTTGAGCTCAACTCAGTTTGAGTTAGATTATGTACCGAGTTTTCTATAAAAGTAAAGTTTATACATATAAACAATAATTTTTATTTTTCATACAAAAAATTAAGAATTATAAAAATTATTTGTTATTATGCATATAATAAAAATTATTTGTATATGCTTGTGTGCATGAATGTATGTGCATATATAAGCTCGATTAGGCTTGCGAACCTCATGAATCAAGCTTCATCGGGCTCGAGCATGACTTAAAGCTCAATTTTGACCAAGCTTAATCTATCCCTTATTGGTGGATAAGTTGGGGGATTGGTTAATGGGAAAATTAACCAACTTTTCATGTTTTTTAGTAGCGAATTGTGGGTCTTATATATATATAAGAGAGAGAGAGAGAGAGAGAGAGAGAGAGAACCTAGTTCATCCCTCCTGAGACCTAAAATGATTCTTTTTTTTTTTGTAAGGAGATTTGGGCCAATATTGGGTGATGCTCTTTGGACTAGACTATTAAATCGATGGTTTAAGCCAAGCATGTTGCTTTTTGTAGGCAAAATCTTCAAAGCCCTTTGGTTAGGGATAGGGGTGGACATGAGTTGAGCCTTTCACGAGCTATTTGAGCTTGACTCAATTTAAATCGAGTTTCGAGCTGAATTCAATATTGATATATAGGCTCGTTTGCTAATCGGGCCTAGTGAAACTCGGCTCGTGAGGCTCACAATACTAGTATTAAATAAATAATTTTTATTATATATACATACATACATCGATATATAATAAATAATTTTATTATATATAATAATATTTTTATTAATATAATATTTTTATCTTTTATGTATAATTGTAAATAATTATTATTATTATTATTTTTGTATATATAATATATATTAAATAATTTTTATAAATCTTAATTTTTTTGTCTAAAAAATAAAAACAATAATTTTATACATATAATTTTTATTTTTCAAAAATAGCTAGGCTTATAGTCGAGCCAAGCTCGAACTTGCGAGCTATGAACCAAGCTGAGCTCGAGCTTGATACTATTCCTACGAGCTGAGCTTGAATAGCCAAGTATTCGATTCGGCTCGGCATGAATCCACCCCCTAGCTAGCGAATTTGTGTGAGATGGAAGATTAGTAGGACAAGGTACAATTAAAAATCATAGCTAGGACGCAATGCACACTCTTTGTGGGCCTCACCATGGAGTGCCTCTACATCCTTTTCTAATGAAGGACAACTAGGGTGCTCACGGTTCGGTTAGGGTGTTTTATTATTATTATTATTATTATTTTTTAAAACTTCCAAACTCAAACCAAGCTGAATCAAGTGATTAAGTATGTATTTGGTTCCGTGTGCGCTTTTTGAGGGGTGTTTTCTCATTCAAATGTTTATCTGAAAATTGATGCTTTAAACGTTTTTTGCTTTTTCTATTTGATTAGTTATTTTATAAGTGTTTCAAGTAAAATCCCATAAAATTACTTTACGCCTCAGCTTAAAATGTGCCGTA